GGGGGCTGATGTCATGCCAGCCTTTCTAACAGAGGTGTCCACTAAAAAAAATTGTACCATTTTATCAACTGCCACATTCAGCAACCATTCAAAGTGGTGGTGAAAAATTAACTTAATATAAACGCCTTCATTCACAACCTGATCATAATTATAGTTCTTATGCGTTGTGCTATGCTTGACTGGCTGTTTTCCTTACCCCCTGCCCAAAGCAGAGAGATTGCAGAGGAAGGGATTACAAGAGAATATGTAGGTACTCTGTGAGAAATAGCCATGAAAAGAATGCAGTAGTGCTAGCAGCCCTGAGCAAACTACACAAACAATCAATGTATTAGCTTGAGTTTTGCCCCCTCCCAGAGTGGAGAAAGTGGAGCGGGGAAAGAGGTGGGGAAACCAAGCAATTCCTTCAAATAATCCCTCTTGTGTCTGACCTGTTTTTTTTCCCCTCCTCTGTCCGCCTCCCACAGAGGAGAAAGACGGGAGATGAAGGGATTACAAGAAAGTAAGCAGGCATCCAACGGGGAATACACTGCCTGTGAAGCGCACCCATGGCTCCCACCCCCAGCCTTCATTCCTTTCCATGTGCATTCCCTATTAGATGCCTTCTTACTCTCTTATAATCCCTTCCTCTCCAGTGGATATAAACAAAACAGTAATTCTCTTCTTGCTAATTATTTAAGAACAGGGCCGAGCATTCCAAATGGCAAGGGAGTAGGGAAAAAGAAAGCACAGCTGAGGTCATGTGATTTCTCACTTAAAGATTGCTTTGCTTAACAACAGAGCTACCAGTCTCAATTGTGGATGCCAAATGAGGAATACCCTCGGCTGGACATTTGTCCAGTGGTAGGATTCAGCCAGTTCGCACCATTCAGGAGAACCAGTTGTTAACTTTCTGAGCAGTTTGGCGAACTGGCTGTTGGAATAACTCATTAGGGCAGAGAACCAGTTGTTAAATTATTTGAATCCCACCACTGCATTTGTCCCAATATACGACAGAGATTCAAAGCTAATGTGCTATGCTTTGGTTCTATGGTGTGCAGTTCATAACCTTTTTTTAAAAGAACTACAGTCTATGCTCTGAGTTATCTGTCAAATGCATTCAGCCTTAATTTTGGCGCACATCAGTATCTAATCCACTGTCTGAAACATTGGCTAAACCTGTCTATCTTGGTGTGTTTCTTTGGCTGATTGAAGTTTTTCTGAAAGCTTGCTTTTAGAGGTGGTATTCAGCAGGTTCTGACCATTTCTGGAGAACCGGTAGCAGAAATTTTGAGTAGTTCAGAGAACCGGGAAATGCCACCTCTGACTGGCCCCGCCCCCATCTATTCTCTGCCTCCCATCAAGTCCCAGCTGATCAGCTGGGTCTTCTTTTGTTGCCCTGCACAGGAGAACGGAGCTGGAAAGCAGGTTAGTGGGGTGGGGAGGGAATGGGATTTTACAGTATCCTTCCCCTGCCATACCCACCAAGCCACGCCCACAAAGCCACACCATGCTCACCAAGCCATGCCCACAGAACCAGTAGTAAAAATTTTTGACTCCCACCACTGCTTGCTTCCCCCCGGAATAAAGGTACAGCCTCAGATTTTATTGACCGTGGCCCCTCTGTTCATGCCCCAATAACACCTGAGTGTGAGAAAGAATGTAAGCAAGTCATGGAGTGAGGGATTCAAAAATCCTTACTACTGTGATGTGTATCTGCCTAGCAGGCTATTCTTTATACCTATCTCTTCAGCTTTCTTTCTGTTGCATATATTTATAGTGTTTATGTGTACAAACCACTCCCTTTGTATGCATTTTTGTGAGCAATGCACATGTGCATTTTATATTTTACTCGATTAATTTTGAACAATTTTGAACAATGCTTTTAATGGATTGTTTCCTAATGTATATGTTTTATACTAATTTTTCCTTATTAAGCATATTTGACAACCATTTTTCAAACAGTGAGCTGCATCACTAAAGCATGGATTTCAGCATGCTGGCATGCTGTGTTGTGTTTTTCACAGAGGTTTAGGAAGTATAAATATAATAAATTCTTACTCAGGTTAAAACATTTCTCATGCACTTCTATGCTCAGTTTTATGAAGTGTGGTATGCTTGGGTTTTTTTTGCTATAAGAACTTCAGGGTTATGATTTATAAATACATTATTATTCTGTTCTTTTTTCAAGGATCTCAAGATGGCATACATCCTTCCTATACGTTTGCCATATATCCAGACACTGTTCCTTTAGAATGTCTCTGATGCTATCTGCCCCTGAGTGTGTAACTAATCCAAGGTCAACAAATGATCTTCATATCTATGAAGATTTAAACCCAATTTGCCTGATCACAATCCAACACTTATAATGAGGACTGATAACATGCTGTGCTCAACATGACATCTGTTTTTACTTATTCTTGTGGTATAAGGATGTAATTCTCTCTACTGACTAGCCAAGGTATTTATTATAATTGGGTATTCATAGCCGTAGGAGAGGTATTTTGATTCAGATGTACTGCGATAGCAATACTGACATGGGATTATTCACTCAAGGAAAAAAGAATCAAAAGAAAAATTAGCAGGAACACCAGCACAAAGTATTTCCAAAGTATTTCTGCAGGCAGTACATAGGCGGTTAAATATTTTCTATCCTTATTCCATTATAACATGAAACATCCACCCTTACTTTCCCTGCCCAATAATCATAATCATAAACAATTTATTAGCATTCTGAATAACATCCCTTGTTTTCTGAATTAAGCAGCCTGTGGATTGCAATAACCACAATATATAATAGACAAATACAGATATTGTTATTCACGTATTTCCTTTCCCTGCAGAGACACAGCCAAAGGAGATCGCATGACCCTGAGACACTTTGCAAGCATGGTAACTATGAACAAATTGTCAAGCATCCGAATTGATCATGTGACCATAGGTATGCTATAACGGTTGTAAGTGTGGAAAACAGTCATAAGTCACTTTTTCAGTGCTGTTGTTAACTTAAAACGGTGACTAAGTGAACTGTTGTAAGCCGAGGACTACCTGCAATATGTAACAGCTTCCTGTGGGTCAGACAATATACCCCAGATGATAAGCCAAACTTTTAGAGGAGGACGCCTAGAAGATGGAAGTCTATTGTAATTAAACTACATATACTATTACATATTTCACACACCCACACTGACTTCTACTCCCTACCTCTGTGATCTAGGGCAAGGGTCCCCAATCCCAGGGCCACGGCCCACTACTAGGCCACAGCCTGTTTGGAAATGGGCTGTGCAGGCAGCGGGTGAGCGCATGCATACAAATTTCCCTTTGTGCAGGAAGCTCCCTTCACATGAGTGGCAGGTGCGTGTGTCTGTTGCTCGCACAAATAAGTGTGTGCCTGCCAACTATCTCCTCTTCTCCCCCTGCCAATGCCAAAAAGGTTGGAGACTGCTGATCTATGGGATGTTTCTACTCTGTCCTATCTATGCAGTTTTGCCAAACCACCTGAGGCCACTTAGCTTTTAATCATGTTTAAAGAAATTCACAGGTACATCTTACTGACACCTAACTTCAAGGTTCAATCAAAATCAATTTGGTGAGTAACCTCTTTGCTAGGAAAAGAAACTATTCCCTGAAGGGCCGCAGGTGGCATATAAAATAAATAAAACAACTTTAGCAAAAATGGAAAAGTTCAAGTACTATGGCATTTTAAAAAGAATGATCACTGCTAAAGGAGAAAACAGAATCATCTAGGTGAAATAGTTATTTTGCCTCAAGTTGCATTTTGGCATATTAAAGTGTGGAAATGAAAAAAAAAAGTTACATCATCTTTTGCTTGAATCAGAAACTTTTCTTATGAACAGATTTACCACAATAATGCTCATGAATTGCAGAGTCATTCCACACAGAAGTCTAGAAAAACCTGAAGAACTACAGAAAAGGAATTAAATTACTTATTGAACAAACAACAGTACCAGTTTGCTGTTGTTTTTAACACATATTTTACAAATCTGTTCAATAAAATAAAATAATCCATCCAGTATTATGTACCCTGATTGGAAAAAGGACAATTGCCCAGTTCTGGTACTTGAAGCATTAACCTCCCCGACACTCATGATAGAACACATAGTTAAATGACTACTATTCATCACCTTAGATAAGGCTGATGTCCATAGTTCTTACAAAAACACCACTGCCTTTAGTTATCACAAAGAGTGGGACAATGATGCAGTAACAAAGTTGGAGCAGTCACGACCGACAAGTTCAACCCACTTTTCGGAGAGGAGTGATCAAGATTTTTGAATTTAAATAAAATACGGGTTCTAAGCCTACTGAAGATTTAGTGCACCTCTTTTGCTTTTGGGTTGAGTAAATAATTTATAGGAAATCACACTGGTAAATTACAGAACCACGATCTAGGAGCAGCCCTGAAGAATAAAAAAAAAAATGAGGCTAGACACAGAACAGGAGCACCTACAGGAAGAGGGCTCTGGTCACGTAGTTCTTTTTTTTTTTACATCCCCTTGTGGATATCTCTCACAACATATAGTCTAAAGACTACAGATTATTCATCCCTGATTTAGAAAGTGAATTTACAATGTTTGGATTCAGCTGTTGCCACATGTTCTCAACCACAGTATGCATAGGATACGTCTTTCTTTGGTTTTCCAAGTTTCCTTTTTACAACTTCTCCCAAGTAGAAATTGTTCCATAGTTCTGATTATGATGGACTTAATTATTAACAGGTTTGGTGAAATGAAAAAAAAAAGTAATTTGAGATGTGTCACGTCAGCTTGGAATTATTGAATAAAGATCACCTTTTATCAGAAAAATCACGAGTGAGTAATTTTTGGCTCTAATGCTTCTTGCCATTCCAACAATTAATTCAGTGATTTTTCTTTACCAGACTGATATCCCTGATTAATCTTTCATCTTGGTAAAACAGAGAAAAAGATTTGGCTACAACTTTTTCATTGCCATTTGATTTCACGGTAATAGCCAAGAAGGAAAAAAAAAAGGCTGCATCTTACCTTTTCTGCATCTTGTTCGAAAAGCCGAAGTTGAAAGCACTGATCTAGTTTCAGCTTACGGACATGCCACATCTGATGCAAGTGCTGTCGTGTTGAATGCAGCTTATCTAAAAGGCTGGTAATCTTTGGCACAAGACTTTGGAAATCTGCACTGCCAGGAATGCAGTTCCTACCAGAGAAACCATCACTGCATCTTATGCATTGTAATAACCGTTGACCTTCACGGTCCAATTCTTCCACTGGAGCTTTGATTACTTTCTTCTTGAGCTGGGTATGTTCGTCTATTAGTCTTCTTGAACCCTCCACATCCACTGGAAATTCCTTCCTAGCCAGCATTTCCTGAAGGTCCTCCAGCCTGGATAATAAATGGATGGCACTATTGAAAAATTCTTCCAAGGAAACTCTCAGCTCTATCCATTCATCATGATTGTAATCCAGAGTTCCTTCAAACTCTTCTGTTAGTTGGGAGGGATCAACCAGTTTTGTTAAACCTTCAACGGAGACCATGCTTGTCTAAGGAGTTAAAAAAAAAGAGTGATTTAGTTTTTAAGCAATTCTATAGAAATCCTGTAACAATTAGGATACCATTAACTATTCATCAGACAGTATAAGCAAGCAGGAAAAATGCTTAACAGCCAGATAAGAATACATCCTATTTAATAGGGCTGTGAATTGTCTTTGCCTTGGCTCTCACAACCACAGGGGAAAAGAAATGGACCTTGTGAGAAAGAGAATTCATGATTGTGGTGGCCTCATCAGTGTTACTAGAAATCAGCAAGAAATGAAGCATTGCTTCTGTCCTACATAAATTCCTTTGGCATGGACCCTATGCCCACAACTAATATTATGAAAGTACATTTTTACCTCTCCATCAACATACACAATCAGGATGCCTTCATAATGGGGGATCATTTGAAAAACTGGATAATTTTGCCCACCTGTTTTCACACTATACAGCCCTTTTCACAAAATCCACACACTAGATACTACTTGTTATGAAACCTGTGTATATATACATATACATACACACACACACACACACACACACACACACACACAAATTTTCAGCAGGACTGTTCAACCTAAAGGCTTAAAACTTAGTGTAGCTTCCTAAACTTTTGATACAGCCGAAAGAGTCTCTCCAAAGGATGTCACCAATTGTAATTTTAATTGACAGGAGGGAAAATGATTGCTATATGTATAATAATGTATTCATTGTGCTTAATTAAACACTGTAAATTAATTTATGTCCCCCCCCCCATGTACACAGACACTTTTCAAAATACAGCCCTCAATATGCCATTTAAAATGGCTCTTGTCCTCCAAAAATGATCTTTTAGAGGATATATTTAGAGATTATCTGGCCCTTTTTCAGTCAAGCTGTTTTAGCTTGGAGAAGTATTAATTCCTCTGGTTGTCTTGGGGCAGGGGTCTTCAAACTTGACAGCTTTAAGACTTGTGGACTTCAGCTCCCAGAATTCCTCTTCCAGTCATGTTAGCTCAGGAATTCTGGGAATTGAAGTCCACAAGTCTTAAACTTGTCAAGTTTGAAAACCCTTGTCTTAGGGGATGACTTATGCTGCAAAGTAGATGCAATTTAGGACTCCTATTTTATAATGGCTCTAGGCCTTACTGTCATGCTGTATCCTTGTTTCCTGCAAGACTGCATTTTTGCCTCCCATACTGTTCAGTATCTACAGTACATGAAACTGAAATTGGGGGAAATTCAATAAAAACTTTGACCCCAGGACTTCCAGTTTGAGCTTTTTCAGTGACAGACTGAAACCTTGTCTCTGCAAAGCTTCGATCCATGCTCGCCATTGGAGCACCCCGAACCGGCTGGTTTCAGGGCTAAGCCACCCCGTAGAGGTGGTGAAGAGGGGGGAGACTGCCTGCAGGGTTGAGGAGAGCCGCATCTCTCCTCCTCAGCTGGCCATTACTCCCTTTCCTGACGGCGGTTGCAGCAGTGGTCAGAAATGGCCACCACAAAGAAGAACTCGACCGGAAAAGAATGTGCAGGAGGAAGATAAGAGGAGAAAGTTTTGGTTGACCGGGTCAAACAGCAAAAGCAACAAATAAGGTGCCCTGTAATTGAAACTGTTAAAAAACAATAACATTGTTCCCTAAGAAGATTTTTAAGCTGCAAAGGAGAGGAAAGCTGCAAAAGGGAAAAGATCTGGTTTTCTCCTTTTCCTATACTGACAGCTAAGAGACTTAAGCAAGAAGTTGGAAAAAAATCCACTTTGACATCAATAGGCATTTAATGCTGAAAATAAAAAGCCAAAGGGATAATAAAGATTTCTGGATAATTAAAAACTTTTGAAAACAGGAAAGGAGAGAAAAAGAATAAAAGGGCAGGATCTGGAAGGGAGGAGACTGCCTGGAATTAAAAAAGAACTTAGAGCAAAATCTCAACAAGACTTCCAAAAGATACATTCTAACTGAAATATCGCAACAAAATCCCCAGGAAGAGAAAGTCAAAAAACAATGACTAAAATCAATCGGATGGTTGTTTAAAACTGTTCAAAATGGCCCCACTTTTAGAAGAACTGAAAATGGAACTTAAAAAGTACAAAGAAGATGCACAAGAAGGGAGAGGTTCCTTTGGCTTCGTATTTCAGTTTTTAGAAATGGAGATTTGGAATTATGAGAAACAACAAGAAATGCCTGCAGAACAAGAAGATTGTGACAAAGAAGAAGCCATCTTTAATGAACAAGTAATCTTAGATGGGGGGAAAAAAGGAAAGGGGGGAAAGAGAATGGAAAGTTTAAGATTGGGAAAAACAACTCCCCCCCAAAATAGAGTGAAAAATAAGTATAAAATCAGAAAGCAACAGAAGAGGGAAATGCAGAAGAGAGAATTAGAACTAGAGACACAAGGGGGTAAAAAGGGGAGGGAAAAGATAAAAGGGAAGAAAGAAAGGAAAAGAAGTCATAAAGGACAGAAGCAAAATATAGAGAAACAGGGCCTATTTAGGGATAATGGGTGAAAACTTAATAGAAAAGGGGATTCTGCAAAGGTACATAAGATAGTATGGTTATATTAGAAACAGAAATAATTTTAGAAAATATGAAACAATGTGTGATTAAAATGTCTGATAAAATAACTATCGTAATTCATTGGAATGCTTGTCAATAAATAAATGTAACAAAAGATATATTTAATGATTTATAAAACATATGTGAAGAGAAATAAGGGAAAAAATAATTATGGAGATTATATGTGTTTTTAAGGAAGTATTATATTTAATTGAAAAGAAGTGTTAAAGATGTTAAGATTTTAATGATTATTAATGATAGAACTGAACTGGAACGGAATGTAATTACATATATTTACAATCTTTTTTAAAAAAAAGAATATAGTGTGTATTATAAGAATGTACCAAGCAGAATTTGATTGGAAGTTATGTATTATGTATTATATTGAAGGTCATAAACTTAAGGTATATATTGAAGTTTAAATAAGAGTTGAATGGATGTAATTAAAAGATATAAAGGTTACTCCAATTAGTAACTACAGGAGAAAATTTGTTTAATGAGAAAGATAATATGAAATTGAAACAGAACACACAAAAGTATAAATATAATTATTTGAATTGAGATGAGATAATCAAAATAAAATCGAGAAAATTAAAAGAGGGGAAAAACTATATAGAAAATGTAAAATAGTATAAGATATGGAACAGAGTACAAAAAGGAGCATGAAATTGGGTTTTGTGTCTGTATAAAGAAGTTCAACCTGGGACCATGCTATTTTCAAAAAAGATGTTTTACTTGTATTTTGTATGTGTGAAAACCCAAATAAAACTTTATTAAAAATAAAAACTTTGACCCCTAATCATATTGCACCTTATTATCCACTTTCAAAAGGCAAATACTGCATTGAACATTGCTTAAATTTGATAAAGTCCTGAATGAGGAAGAATGCACTGAGATTAAATCTAAATCAAAATGATTAGGTTTTTTGGATAAATAAAAAAATTAGACTTTGGGATGGAGATTTAGATTGCTTTGTTTAGTATGCAATCCCCATGATAAGAATAGTTTCCAGTTTGAAAATACTCCTTGACCCTCATCTGTCATTGAATTCATGATGGCTGTGACATGGTGTACATTTATACAGTTAGGACTACTACATCAATTACAGTATTACATCATCCATTTTTGAGATGGTCAGACTCAGCAACAGTTATCCATGCCTTGGTTACATTTCATCTTGATCTTTGCAGTGCACTAGACAGTGTGATCTATGCTGGGTTATCCTTGAAGAGTTTGCAGAAACTGGAACTAATATAAAATATGTCAGCTAGAATGCTATACAGAACAAAATATAGGAATTATATGATGCTTCCACTGAAAGAATTACACTTACAGCCAGTGATTTAGTTGGTACAATTTAAAGTGATACTTTCGTCCCTTAAGGCCTTGAAGAGTTTAGGATTTCACAATATCAGGAGCCATCTGGGAGCCATGATGGTTCAGTGGTTAGAATGCAGTATTGCAGACAGACTCAGAGCCCGGAGTTCAATCCTGACCAGCTCAAGGTTGACTCAGCTTTCCATCCTTCCAAGGTCAATAAAATCCAAGGTCATATTGTTAGGGGCTGACTCTGTAAATTGGTCAGAGACTGCTATAAAGCACTATGAAGTGGTATATAAGTCTAAGTTTTATTGCTTTTGCTAAACTGGAATTCATAGCTTCTAATACACTAAATATAATTCTTGCTTTTGATCCTTAAGTCTTCTGATACAAACACACTCCTAGCTGGGTAACTGATATAACACGCGAGACTCCCAACTTGAAATTGTTATTAAACAGACATCAGGCATGTGACTGCCAAAATATATTTGTCATTATTCTTCTCCCACTGGAATCTTCTTATTTCTCAATTCTTGAGTAGGGAGTCCGTTCCATTGTCTATTGTTCATTGTCCATAGTTCTTCATACTTCCAGTTCTTTCTTTGTTGGAATACTTTTTTAAAAATTAGCTTACCTTGACATACCTGCTAGATACCTTTTCTAATAGAGATTTTAGATTGTTTTTTCTTTCTCACTTCACTGAGACCATTTTGTTTCCCAGATCTTTCCAATTTTTCTGCTCTGAGTTTTCTTGCCAAAAATTCTTACTGTTGATATTTTTTTTTAGCTTAGGTGGTATATAACTTGATGATTTTATCCAGACTGTGCAAAGCTTTGATAGGATGTTTCACTTCAACAATGCCTGAAGCAAAGATTCTTCAAAGTTGCTCCTTGAAGCGGTGCAATGCCTCAGGTCTAAAGAGTGAAATGTCAACCAATTTTGAAATTGTAGCACTATGATTATGTTTTTTCATATCCTACCTAGACATAAACAGCACTGCACAAATACATTGCCTGCTTCATTTGAAAAATTAGTATTTATTTATTTATATCCATTGGCTGCCGAATTCCAATAGACTCTGGACAACATATAAAACTAGAAAAAAAAAGCCCATGAAAATAGCTAAATAGTTATTTAAGATATATTTCTGCACTGTTTTTACAAATATTGAGTCAGTAGATGGCACAGTACTATATTTCAAAAATGTACCATAAGCAGAGCATGTTAATTCAAACAGTTAATTCTTTACATTTAAATTCTAATTAAATTTAGGATAGGACATGTCGATGCATGCTGAAAATTTCTTGCTTGGTTTTTCAATCTGTTTAAAATATTCTTCCCCAGCTATAATTGGTCTTTTTAACATGAAGGTAGGAAAGGAGGCCTCTTTGTTTAAAGCATTCTGCAGATACATTTATTATTCAGATAGATTCTCCCTGGGGAATTCGAGATGAATAGGAATACATTATCAAACTTCATCAGAAAGGAAGAAAAGATGTGCAAGGACAAGGTAACATCCTATCAGCTGTCATATTTCTTTCCTGTTCAAATGCAACCAATCAAAACACAGCCTGCTCATTCAATCTTTTCAGGAGGAAAGAAAAGTAATTTGTAAAAAGCCTGAATTAATGACAAGGAGGCTTGTTGGGTCATCTCTAGTGTTAACAGGAAATTCCAGAAATCTGCATTTGTCAATCACATGTCAACCCTGCTGTTTTTTTGCTTACCAACAACTTTTGACTGACAGGCCCTGAAGGGAAAATAGGAGCATAAACCTGGCTATTATTGGGGCTCCTCAAGAGAGAAGTTTTTTTTCTGCAGAAGCAGCTGTCAGAGCAACATACTTTCTGTTTATAATCCTTCCTCTTTGCCTAAGGGCAGTATCTTTCTTTCAAGTTGACATTGGCAGGTATCAGTGGACTTTTCAATGACTTATAGCTGCTAAATTGTATAGCTTGAATTTCTACCAACTGTCATTAAAGATCTATGCCTATATATTTTGCTCAGTCAACATAACAGTTAAGCCACCAACATGCAAGTGTATTGTTATGGATAGATTGTTCATTTGGGCACATGCAACTATTTATTTTATTTTATTTTATTTTATTTTATTTTAGAATAGAATAGAATAGAATAGAATAGAATAGATTAGAATAGAACAGAATAGAATTCTTTATTGACCAAGTGTAATTGGACACACAAGGAATTTGTCTTGGTGCTTATGCTCTCAGTGTACATAAAAGAAAAGTTACATTTGTCATAAGGTACAACACTTAATAATAGTCATAGGGTATAATAAGCAATAAAATCATACTAGGAAACAGTCAATATAAATCATAAGGATACAAGCGACAAAGTTACAGTCATATAGTCATAAGTGGGAGGAGATGGGTGAAAGGAAGGATGGGAAGATTAATAGTAATAGTAATGCAGACTTTGTAAATAGTTGGACAGTATTGGGGGAATTAGTTGTTTAGCAGAGTTTTATTTATTTAGAATAAACAAAAAACAAATTAGAATTGGGGACACTTCTGGTTTGTCGGCTTCGGTGACAGCAGGGATTCGCTTTTCTCCTCGATCCCTGCTGTGCTAGCCGCCTTGGTGCCTCCGATCCTGACGGATTTGGAGGCTAAGGCTGCCCTGCTGGGGCAGCTGAAGAAAGGGGGGATCCGGACAGGGGTTGAGGGGTATCGCAAACCCCCTCCCCAGCCGGCAATAACCCCCTTCTCTCAAGACGGTGGAGCGGTGGTCTTTATGGCCACCATAAAGAAGCCTGCAACTGGATAAAGAATGTGCAGGAGGAAGAAGAAGGAGTTTTAAAACGAAATTTTTTTCTTGGTCGAACTGGGACCTTAAGGACATATTTAACACCTGGGAAAGTATTGGCTTTTTTCTGGATGCTACAATGTTCCCGATTGATGTTTTCAGCGGCAAAGAAAAGTGATGAAAAGGGGAAGTTACTCTCCCTCCCTTATGGAATTAACAAATGGACAAGGGAAACCAGCCTTTTAATAGAAGGTAAAACCTAAACTCCTTTGTTATAAGTGGGAAGGGAGAGGCTTGGAAAAAAAAAATTTACTCTAAGACTTTGCTGGAGAAGATGCCTTGAAGATAAAGAGAATAGAAATTAATTCTAAAAAAGATTTAAAGCACAGACTGGACGTTTTTTCTTTCCCTAATTTGACTTCACCCCAGAAGAGAAATTGTAAAAAGAAGAAGTTTGTACTCTGCCTGGACTGTTTGATGATTGCGCGATTTTGGGACTTTTGGGAACTGTTTTAAGTTTGGAAATAACTGATTGGCTTAATAATAAGAAGAGGATACAGATAAAGAAGAAGAAACAGTTCAAAATGGCTCTATCTCTTGATGAACTAAAAAAACAATATTTAAAAATAAGGAAAGAAGGCAAACATGTTATGGGAGAAGCCCTTTGTTTCCTAGATATGGTGCTTGTCATGTGTCAGCAAATTAAACAACAGCTGGAAGAAGCTGAGGAAGAAGAAGCCATTTTTAATGAACTAAACGGTGTGACTAAGAAAGAAAGGAGAAAGAGAGGAGCGAAAAGGAAAGACTTAAGAAATAAAAAAATATTTATGAAAGAGAAAAAGAAGATGCAAAAAAAACAGAATGCTAGAAAACAAAAGGAAAGAGGAATGCAACAGAAAGGGGAAACCAAGAAGGCAGAGGTTTGGAGAGGAGGGGGTAAAAAGTTTAGGCGGGCTAAGAAGGAAAGGGAAAAGGGGGAAAAAGTTACAAAGGTATAAAACAAGATGGAGAAAAGAAATTTTTTTTTAGGGATAATGGGTAATGTATGGGGTTTTTTTAAAAAAAAGGGGGATTCTGTAAAGTACACCTGAGTATTGTAATAGTGGTATTTGAATTATAAGTAGATAATCAGAACTTTTTAAGATCTAATAAAAGACTTAAATATTAAGGTATAACTTTAAAATGTTTAATAATGAATGATATTAAGTTTTAATAAAATACTAAAGGGAATGTTTAAAATATTAGTTTAAATATAGAGTTTAATGAATTAATGTGTTGACTGTTATGGATTTATTATTGTAGTATTGGTTTCTGAAATAGTAGAATGTACTAAGCAGAATCTGATTGGGATTTAGGTGTTATTTTAAATTTTAATTTAGGGGAATGATAGAAAGGCATCATACTCTTATTAGTGATTCCAGGGGAAACTATTCTTTTTTATATTGGAAATGAGACAGATGTAAATGGAGAAATGGGCAAAAGATATAAAAATATTTTTCTTTAAAGCAAGATTAAATATATAAAACAGAATTAAGATGAGGCAAAAGTGGAGAGGAGTTATATAATAGATATAGAATGGTAAACAAGATAGGTAATGGTTTATAAGAAGAGCATGAATTCAATTGAAGTCCATACAAAAAGAGGTAATCTGGGGCCAAGTTACTTTCTAAAAGAAAGTTTTATGTTTTTATGTTTATGTCTTATGTGTGTGTGTTCAATTAAGAATTAAATAATAAAATCTCGGAGGAAGACTAGATGAGAATAATTATAAACAAGCCAGAGGAAAATATAAATGTGATGATTGAATAGCAGATAAATTAGAAAGGAAATATGATTGAATAATGATTAAAGAGAAACAATGTGGAATTTGGTAAAGGGAATTTACGTGTTTATATGGAAATGGGATAAATTATAAGTATGTGATATAAAGCAATGTGTTACCTGCCTTGTAAAGATTTACAATGGAAAGAGGTTTTATGTTTTTAATGTTTAATGATGTTTTGTTTTGTTTGTTTGTTTGTAAAATCAATAAAACTTGTTTAAAAAAAACAAAAACAATTTAGAATTATTTATTTAGAATAAGAAAGAAATATACAACTACAACTATCTACAATTTGTCTTCTGTTTCTTACAAAAAATTAGATCCATGTTCTATGCATTACGCATATGTGGGTCAAAGCAATGTTTGATTAGTAATCTAAAATAACAGGCATGGCTAGTTTTCATAATAGTTCTTAATTAGTGAATCTTCTCCATCTTACCTCAAAGATAAATTTTGAACTTCCAAAATTTGTCTTCTGCTTCTGCCAAAAGTTATCAGGCTTGATTATCAGGGCAACATGAATTTCTGCAGGAAAGGCCTCCTGAAGAGTCTTCAGGAGAGGTTTGATCAGGTCCCACTTAGACCCCCTCATATCAATGATGACTGTGAAACCCCGTTTGCAGACATCTTCACTGTAGGGATTAAACATTGAATAAATTATATCTAGAGTAGGTCTTAGAAGTATGAAGTTGACATTAAACAGACATTTTATCTCTTCAGACTTGATTCATATATTCACAGATTGCAGATCAATAACCATTGTTCTGTTCCTAAATATGCTCTTCTACAATATTAAAGCATTAACTGAACAACTTGCGCATTTGCTCAATGGCCTGTGCATTAATTTACCTTTAGATTAATCGCATGATAGAATTCATTGTGACTCACTATACAAGAGAGTTTAAGTGCTACTTTCCTCAATATCATGAAGTGAATTTTTAAGTGTGAATGAATTTGATACTATGCCTCTCTTCAAAAAATCTAGCGGACCTTGAAACAATATACTTGACATGCAGTGAACCAATTTTTCGAAGTCTAGTAGTTTTATTAGCTTAAAGATATCATCAGACTAATGGCAAACATTTGTGTCATTTGTGTAATGACATCATTAAGCTGATTATATGGTGGCATACTTTTGCACTTCAAAAGACATTTGTAAATAACAGAACTCTCTCTCTTAATTAGACTGTTAAAATAACATATCTCTGAATTATCTAGAATTTGCAAAACACACACAGTCAATCTTTATTATTCATGCATTCCAGGTTTGTAAATTCACTCTCTCACAAAAACTGGTTTATATTTATTGAGGATTTTACAGAAAGTAAAGTAAAAGGCATATCTAAAAAAGGAAAAGAAGGAAGTGCAAGGAAAAAAAAAGAACTTAAGGTTATAAGCTGTTTGTCAAACATCCAAAATGCAACCACTGGATCACAGGGCTGGGAGGAAGGGGTGCCTGTCAGAACTTCACAATCAGGACATAAGTACCTTTGGGAGGATCTGTTGTAACTTTGAACGATTGCAAAGCGACCTATCACTAAGCAAGAACTATCTGTATCAGAAGATGGGATACAGCTCTACAGGAAACTGTGTTTAACACTGCTTAGAGTCAAAACAACACAGACTTTTACACAAATAACCCCGGATAACACCAATATATATAGATATATAGCTCCAATACTAAAATGATATATATCTACAATATTGCAATAGCACCGATTTTAAAATTAATAACTAAGAAGCTGCATTCAGTTGCTGATGCTCAAATGCTGTAAGGCCATAATGAAAGCTTAACTAACTATATATTTTTTTAGAAAAGTTTTAAACATGGGAACACTGTAACCTGATCGGAAGATCTGTCATCTTCTCACAATTGTTATACCAACCATTGCATCTACTAATCAATAAATTTTATTTTCTAAATAAGTGGCAATTAGCAGGAGGCAATTTTGCCTGTGGCAAATTACCCAGAATTAACTAATAGTATCCCACAAGTGGCTTCAGATATTGTATGCTAAAATTTGCCCAATAAGTTGTAGAAAAACAGTGTACAATTAACGTGATGCCAGGCAGTTCAGATGCAGCCATTAAAATACGGGACTCAAGGTGGGGGGTATTCTAGGGGTCTCCAAGCTTGGCAATTTTAAGCTCCAGGCTGGGGGATTCTGGGAGTTGAAGTCCATCAGGCTTAAAATTGCCAAGATTGGAGACCCCTGTTCTAAGGGGAATGCCATTGTCCTAATTAAAGAATTAACCGAATACAAAATGGCCTTTCTGAAATTGAGAGAAGCAGCTCTGCCACAGCAATGACATTTCGGAAAAACAATGATTTTAAATTATATATAACAAAAACTTCTCAAATATTTCTGTATTTTGAGAATATCTGTTTCTTTATATCAAAATGAACTGTCCCTGGTGAAACCTGAAATGACATCTCTCTACCTTCACGCCTTCCCTCCAAATTTAATTAACAATTACTTGAAGCCTCTAGGTAATCATCAAAATTTCAGGTATTACATGTCTGCAAATATTTCTTTTTAATTTAGCCTTTGAGGTGCTGGTTAAAAAAAAAGAAAGGAAGCCTAAAAGTGTTCTGACAAGAAATGTTAATCTAATCAAATGGCAATTACAAATGTTTCATTCTCAGAGCAAGACTTTGGAATGAAAAAGAAGTATTTTGAGTTTGAAACATCTCAGAATAGAAACATTTTCTAGACAACGATACTTTATCAGTATCTATTATTTATACAATGGATATGTATAAACATAAATAAATAAACATAAAAAGCATTAAGCATACATGAATAAATGCAAACTTCAGCCGTGACCTGATATTTTATTTTAAATCAATGCTGAAAACCAAGATTGGGTCAAGTAGTAATCTTTCAAAGTTTTGAAATCTCTTCCCAACTAAGAAATTTCCTTGGATTTTTACCTAACTAAAGACATTGCTTCAATCTAACTTATTAACATGGAAGTATTTATCAGTTCTTCAGTGACATAAACGTTATGGGCTACGTCCAGGAAGTTCAGCGTCCAGTGGCGCAGGATTTTTGTGGTTTTGGTTTTATTGTTCCCTCTTTTTATTCTTTGTATATATTAGTTTATTCTTTTGCTGAGACACACCTAGCATTTGGTTTTAAAACAGACTGTTCTTTATTTATTTTAGTATTTAACCTTTATTATTTTTATAAATAACCCAAGGCAGCAAATATACTTTTTTTCCTCCCTTTTCCAACCATAACCACCTTGTAAAGGGAGTTGGACTGACAGAGAATAAATGGCCCAAAGTTACCCAGACAGCTTTAACTTTTAACTCATAGTCTCTTGATTTCTATCCTAATGTCTTGATCACTACACCACACTGACTCTCCAATCTGTCATCACTTAAATTTTTAAATCAAGGGTCTTCAAACTTGGCAAATTTAAGACTTGTGGACTTCAACTCCCAGAATTCCTGAGCTAACATGACTGGAGGAGGAATTCTGGGAGTTGAAGTCCACAAGGCTTAAAACTGTCAAATTTGAAGACCCCTGTTTTAAATAAATAAATTAATACTAACCTCAGTAGGATCCGAAAATATCATTATAGAAATTTCAACCAAGTTAGTATCTCAAATTTAAAAAAAATTAATCGAGTAAATATTATGAATTAATCCCAAGCTATGGTTGACAGAAACTCCCCATGCAGAGCAAAAGGTGTACTTGATGGGGTTTTTTTGAGAGGTGAATATGGTACTCATGTGGAGACTACTTACCATGCAGATAATAAAAGTCTGGAATTTTAAATAAATTCTAGGGAAGGGTGATACGGTGCTGATACATTTCTCTAGAGACTACTACCTTAGTATCCCTTTCTCATCTAGTATCTTTTTTCATCTGAGTCATTTGGCAGCAATAAAAAGGATCATGATTGAAGCAAAATCAATGCAGAATTGCTACTTACTGGGAAATTAACTGCTAGAACTAGTGTGCCCTTCAGAGGAAGACACTGATGGACATGGAATTAACTGAGAGCATATCAGAGGATGTAACTGGGTATAACTGATGATAAATTTCTAGCTATTACAAATCATTTATTACAGCACAAAAAACCAAGACATTACAATTAATGTATCCCTAAACCCTCAAGAACACCACAACAACAATGCAGGTGTGATAATGCAATGATAATGGAATTCAACTAAAGAACAGGTTTAAGTGGAAGCAAAAATGTCTATGTTGCTGATACAATTCATGCCACCATAATCCAAGAAAAGTAAATAGTCATTTCAATCTAATTATAAGAAATTTTAAATTGAAATTAGATATTACACAAAAAGTAAGGGAGAAATGTCATTTGAATGAGAATATCACGTCAATGGTATTAAATTAATGGAGAATTGAATAATTGCCCTGTTTAATTTTTGTGCCAATAATTAATCTGTAGGAAAAGAAGAAGTATTCAATAAAGCAAGTAAATCTCCTTACTGGAAAATCAATGCCTTTTTAAAAATTCTTTTTGGATTCTTTATTGCATCATTTAATATAGCAGGTCTGATAAAACTATTTTTATTCTTCAATGATGTTACATTTCCTTCTGAATTCACTTTTTCTCATGAAAACTGTCTTCCCAACACTGATTCTTGTGAATATACAACCACAAATATGCCTAACAAACAGGAAGATTCTTTTAAGTGGGATTCCAATGTCCAACCAATTTCCTTCTATTCAGGGACTCACTTCTCAGCGCATTTCCGTATTCCATCCACCATTTTAATGCTTCTGATTTTGACCCGGGATGTGTGTTTTTATCATCCATCCCACAGTTAAGAACACCTTCCTTCCCTGATTTTTTTTTCTAAGACACTCTTTTCAAGTACATTTTTAACAATGTACTTTTGACTCTCAAAATAGCCTTTCAGTATTATTGCTGTCTCCCCAAAGGGACAGAACATCTTCTGAGGCATGAGCTGACCGTAAGAATTTAAAACACTGACATACGTCTTAGATTCACTTAATGCCAGGTCAGGTGGACACAACTCTCTTCTCATTGTAATGTTTGTATCTTACATTCCCACTTCACAAAACAAATAGGTAGAATACTTTACCATGTAAGTCAAATGAGCAAAGATTTTTTTGTGATAATTATGGATGATTTGAATTAATATTTTGAATTTTAATTGGCCAATCAATTAAATGCTCTTGCTATGTAACTAGTATGTAAGAAAAGTTTCCCTTCTCCTGACCCCTAACCTACCCTGGGCACTAATGACTTCTTTCTTCTAACAGAATTCATATTCAACTAGAGCAGAATCCACATGTATTGTTTTGCCCTCTTCCACTTTTCTTGGGAATGGGGAGAGAGTCACCTGACAATGATCAACTCATATAAATTTAACAAACAAACAAATAAACACAAAAACTCCTTTTTTGAGGGAAGCTACTGTGCCACAACAGATGGCTAGCTGGACATTATGGGCTACTAAAACAACACTTGCCATGATAGTTGGGGGCTTCATATTAGAACAGATGACAACCACCAGGTCATGTTGCCACTGGCTTATAGTGGGACCTAGGAAGTGTGCTTTTTCCATGGCAGTCTCTACCCTGTGGAATAGCCTTCCCTAGAAAGCTATAAACGGGAGGAGAAG